ATCAGTCAAGGAGGGCTTCCCAGACGAGGACAGTATGGGGCAATCTTGTAAAAGGCTGAGAGGCTGGTCTGGAAAAAGAAGAAAAAGAAGAGAAAAGATGGTTCAGGCTGAAGACAGACTGTGTGTAGACAAAGTGTATGAAGACAAACTGTTTGGGGTCAGGGGTCAGGAGATAACTAAATACCTGGATGGCTGCTCAGGTGTCGCTTAGAGACCACGCCACCCTGCAGCGGGACAATGGGGAGTTGAAGGAACAGGCATGGTTCATGTGAGGCAATGAGACCTCAAGACCCAGCTGGCATGGCTGGCAGCACCTGGGCCTAGCTGAATATTCCTCCCTCTCCCCCACCCCCATATAGCAGGAAAATAGGAACAGAATCTAGGATCCTCCAAATAGGGCACAAGAAAGATTCCTAGACCAGGAGTCAGGGGCCTGGGCTTTTCAGAAGCAGCCACTGCAGAGCAGGAGACACTGGGTGAGTCTTCCTACCTCTGAGGACTCTGGCTGCTGTCTGTACAGGCTGGAACCAATGCTCTCTGAACTCTCTTTGTGAGACTGTCCTGTTGATGACTGCCTTCCTCCCAAAGAATGGTCTGACTCATCTGTGACCTGCCAGGCTTCAGTCTTCCTCCTCTCAGTGTCCCTATACTCCAGACACACTCCCTCATCCAGAAGAAATTACTCCACTGCTGTGGTGGGGGGATGGAGGTGCAAGGCCCCAATTTCGCAAACTTAGCCTGGGCCTATTGGGCATCAAACATGACAAGAGGATATGAAGTTAGACTCAGTAAAGAACTTCCCAGCACAAGTGGCCTGAAAACCTCAGCTCGGGGGAAATGCAGGAAGAATATGTATCAGTGGCCTCCAAGAGACCAGGAAACTGTTTTGGACCTCTGAATAGTGCCAGTGAGAGAGAGAAGTTTTGACTGTGGTTATGGTCCTCCTAGTTGGAAGGTTGCACATAAAGACTTCTGGGAATTCTACCACCCTGAAGTGGAGTGGGGTGAATCTAGAGTTAGAACTTGCAGGCTGGTTAGAAGCTAATTGCCAAAACCTGTAGTGGGTGGCAGGGGAGAGAAGTGAGTAGGCCTGAATTCTGCACAGTCTGGGCACCCTCCCATCCTGCCCCCACCTCTTCATCACCATCCCAGGTCACACCAGAGCCTCTGAGCACTTCCAATTTCAAGCCCCGAGTGAAGGCCTCAGGTCCTAGTCTCCATCTCAGACCGGGACCCTAATGCTATCCCCTGTTCCTGGAAGGGTAAAAGCACCCACTGCTCAGGCTCCCCACCTCCCACACCCAAGTAGAAACAGCCTTCTCCTGGCCTCCCACCTCAGCACCACCACATACCACATCCTGGAACCTGCTAGAGATTTGTGTAAATCAAAGACATCTTCAGCTGAGTCTTCCAGCTCCCCAAGGCACACCACATGCACACATACATATATGCACACATTTGCCCGCACACATGCAGATACACACCGATGCATACTCATACATGCATCATACATGCACACACATACCCTCAAAATACACGCATATGCACACACACACATCACTTGCACTCTCACATGCAACATACACATACTCATAAACTCACCCACATTTACAGACACGCATCACATGCAAACCTGCACATGCTCACTCATCAAACACACTTGTTCACACTCATGCGCACACCACCTCTATTCCTTTCTGCTGACTAAGGATAAAGAGCTCAGGCTTCTAGATTCTAGAGATTTAGAATGCCCAGAGGAATGCATGTAAACCCACAGGAAATAGCCCAAACTGGAACTACTTTGCCATTTCCTTTTCCCTGCCTCCAGACTCTAGGACTCTGGTCCAGATCATGGAAATGGAGCCTGCAAAGATAACTCATCTGTTCATCAGCAAACGTCTTTGAACACCTGCCACCTATGTGCAGGAAGCTGAGGCAGACACATAAAAGCAGACGACCTCCTGCCCCCTAGTGTAGTGGAAAGAGCAAGAGCTCATGAGACAAGGACCTGAGTTCAAATCCTGTCTTTGTCTCAACAAACTGTGTTACTGTGGGCACATTACATAACCTCTCTGAGACTCAGTTTCATCACCTGTAAGATGAGGTTAATAAAACCCAGTAATGCTGTGAGGATTAAAAGGCAGGGAAAACCTCCAACAGCAATGTGCCCACCCATGAAAAGGGACCCCATTCTCTTCCCTAGCCCCTGCGGTGGAGGTGGGGGCAGAGCTGCTCCCCAACACCCTCCCTGTCCTGCCGGTCGCTGAAACAGAAACCCAGTCTCCTTCAGCCTCGGACCCCACAGGTGCGCACACCTCGGGAAACTTAATCTCAGACTTGGGCAGCTCAGATCTGACTCCTCCGCCCCCGCCCCCGCTCTCGCCCTCGGCCCCCGCCCCTCTTGGTCCATCATGCCTCTCGCCCGTTTGCAGGTCGCGTTTTCCGTAATAACCTTTAATGCGGCTGGCCACGGCCCAAATGTTCGCGATGGAGCGCTGGGCCCCGCGCATCAGATGGACGATGAAGTGTTAATCATCCCCCAGGGAGCCGTCCCGCGGAAAGTCGTCATTAATTTCTCTGAATTACACCAATTCCGAGACATTCTTTATGGACAGACAGTGCGGGAGACAGTTATATGACAGGACTTGCTGTGCTAAGCAGATGTGGGAGAGATTGCGTCGCCCCATGAATACTAAACAATCGCTCCGAAGAAACCCCACTAGCTCCTGCGCTCGGAGCTAGGACGCAGCTTAGCCTGCCCCCCACCCTGATGGGCACACCCCTGCAGGTGCCAGGAGCTGGGGGAGGAGGGCTGGCGCCCATCCCTGCTGCATAGGTGGCCTCCTCAGCTCCCCTCCGGAGTCAGGCCTTGGCCTAAGAGCAAGAAGTGGCTCTAGGGCTCTCATCCTCACCTTCCTGGGACCCTGCAAGGACCCACAAAGACCCTTCCCCGCCACAGCCTTTGCTCCCTGCATTCCTTCCAGGGCCTGAACTGCTTCTGAACGTCTTGCTGTCTCCCCTCTCTCTGACTCTCATCCTCCTCTAGCTCATCGCCCAGACGACTCACTACTCGCCTGTTTCTGAGTCTCCATCCTGGTACTCCCACCTCCCCATCCTGCCCCGCCTCCATCCCTCCGCCCCCCTCTTCCTGCCCACCTCCCACTCTGCTCACTTCCCCAGCCCTGACCATCTTCCACCTACCCATGTTGCCTGCCTGCCTCCCCAGACAACCCCGCCTGGCAGTGGGCATCGCTTTCCCATTCCCTCCACTCCAACCTTCCGCACCCTACACTTTGCCCCATTTCAAGTCATCTTTCCTACATCTGTTTTCACACCTTGCTCACCCTGCAGAATCTAGCCGGGGAGGGACAAGGATCAGAGCAGAGTGAAAGGAAGGTGTACCCCTTTTCTCTCTCCTGCCCTCTGCCTGCCCTCCTTTCTTCTTTCTGGGATACTGGGACGGGAGTGAACGAGAGCTGGAGACACCTCCCCAGGAGAGTGGTGGGCTCCAGGGAGCCGGGGGGTGGGGGGAAGGAAGAGGGTGTCCGGGGAAACCCTGTCCAGGCGAGGAGTCCCACCTGGGGGAAGCCCCGCCCACCACGTGAGCCCCGCCTCCCCTGAGCGGCCTGGGAGGCCCCGCCCTGCCCGCAGCTCGGCCCCGCCCCAAAGCCAAAGGGTCCTGAGCTCTGCAGCCCGGGGACCTCGGGAGAGCCAGCTGTCTCGGTCATCCCAGGCTACTGTCCCTCAGGGGAGGACAGAGGCAAGTGCACACTGTTCCTGTCAGGTCGTCCCTCCGCCACCGCCGGAGGGAGGACCCCCTGAGCGCCTTGCGCGGGTCTGGGGGAGAGGAAGGAAAGTGTGACGCCTCTGCGTCTTTCCTCCTCGCAGGTAATTTATGTTTGAGAGCGGAGCAGATGGCGAGTAATTTAGCAATTACCGTGTGCGGGAACGGGACTCGCGCCTCCACATGGAAGCCAAAGATTCCCCGCCGCGGTCTCATCTCGTTTGCTGCCTGCTTTCTCTATTTTCTCTCCCCTTCCCCCGCCACACCTCGCTGAACCCCAAAACTCAAGTGGAGGGGATCTTCTGCTCGGGGTCCCTCCTGCTCGGGGTCCCTTTTCATCCTGACCCGTCTCGATATCAGGCCTAGGTTTTCTGCCTCCGAAAACACGAGGTACAGCCTGTTTGCTCACCGGGCGTCCTTCCTTCCCCTCTCACCTTCAGCCTTCTTGCTGCTGTAAGTGACCATACTGTACTAGAAAGCTGTGGGGTTCTCTCCCAACCTTCTCCCCTACCGCCCCTTCTTCAGGCTTTCCATGATGCTTTCCCCAAGTATCTGGGTTCCAGACCCCGAGTTTCAGAATAGTCTGGACGCCACCGTTAACCCAGCGGCTAAAGAACCTCGGTGCCTGCATGGCCAGCAAGGGGAAAGCAGTGATTGCTAAGGTGAGAGAAGCCGCAAAGCCCTTTGGAGCTCTGTCCACGCAGTGAGCATGTAATGAGCATGCAATGGCTGCCTGAGAAGCTGGCCTTCCTGAGGAGAGGAAAGGCAGAGCGGACAGGAACAAGGCTGCGGGCATCTGACATGCCTCCTTCCCCTTCCACTCCCTTCCTTTGTGGGTCACCTGGGGAAAGGATGCTGTAAGACAGGCCCTGAGCCTGGAGACCTCCTCAAGCTGCCCGAGAGTCGGGGGATGTCCTTCCCTCCCTCTGCCTCCATCCAGCCCAGGACACCAGACACCTACAACCAAGAGGCTGCTGTCTTCAGCCAGGGCCCCTATATGTCTGACTTTCATTCTGACCCCTAACCTTGCGCTGCAGCCTGAACACTCCCATTCCAACAGGACTTTAGGTGACCTCTGGGCTCTGCAGAGCTGGCCTCTCAGGCTTTGAGACACCCTCACCACAAACTCCCCCAGCTCCTCCTCATTCCTCAACACCAGAGGAGCACTAATTAATTAGCGTGTGCAACCAGCCATGGGCACGATCTCGTTACTCACCACAGGGACCCGCTGTTAACATACCAGACCCCTGGGACGCGGGCACACGCCAATTACACAGCTAGCAGCTCGGCTAATCACGGCTCCTGGTGACACTGTGGCTTACAGAGGAATCCCCACTTCCCTCCCCGCACCTCCCCCTACACTCCTGCCTCTGGGAACAGGCGGCTGGAAGGGAGGAGGTGAAGTCTGGGTGGGGTAAAGTTGAAACGCTGGGAAACAGGAGGCCAGCCACGGAGTAGCTGAGGAGAGAGTGGGAATGAAAAGTTAGAAAGAAAAAAGAATTCCCCTACAAATCACTTTAGGCTGTAAACAGCCACTATAGAATTAATGACTGTAGCAAGAGGGAGTGCTGGTTAGACTACAAGAAGGACTTCCTGATGAGGCCATTACTAGGGTAGACTTGGACCTGACAAAGGACAGTCTTTCTTCCTACGAGAAGCAGCCAAGGGAAGATGGCCCGTGAGGTGGAAGAGGAAGGGAGAGTGGGGAAGTTCCAGGAACTCAGGTATCTGGTGCCATCCTGTCCCTCAGCTGCAGTTCAAGGGTACAGAGAGGAGGCGGCCCCACTGCAGACACAGATAGACGGCTTCCCTCCCACACACGTCCCATTGACTTTGCCATTCTGCTGTCACTCCACAGCTTCTCCGAGATTTAACATATTGACTCTCCGAGCTGCAGAAAATTGAATTTTCTTCATTACGAATGTCTCCCGACAAAAGCAGCTCATAAATTCTCTATCTTTTTCAGGCTTCTCCCCCCTCCCCACCCAACATCTCTCCAGGGTATTCACATATTTGAACATGCCATTCACATGGGTGTAAAGGCAAGGCATGACCAGCATTCCCTGCGGACACACCAATCACCCAGAAAGCATTCGCCCCATCCCTCACTGCCCATGCATAGATCCGGTCTACACGCAGACCCAGCCACTGTCTTCAGAAATGAGGGTGCCTGTCTGTCTTCCACAACCAGTGTGGGTCCATGTAGACAGCACTCATGTGCCCCATATAGCAGATTCTCCTCCCATATCAAGGGATGAAGGGTCCCATGCCTTAGCCCATACGTGCACATCCATATTGTACCCCATCAGCAGTCTCACAGATGACACTGTCACCTGGGACAGAGTCCTGAGGTACAGGTCCACCTCAGTGCTACCTGGGCATGGCTAAAGGTCCCTCCCCACAGTTCCAGAATCTCTGCCCACCCTCCCACCTGGGAATATGCCCACAAGTATGAAACATACGCAAGTCTCTCAAGCTTTGTATAGTCATAGACGTGGAAGGAGGAGAGGAAACATCTCCTAGGACCTAGTGGGAATCTTCCTTCACACCATAGCAACCACTCCTGTCTCCTCCCAACACAGCCCCCACCCATATACATGTTAAGCAGCTGTCAACCCATGTCTTCTTCCATGACTACAGTGTAGTACCTCAGCAGCACTCCTTAAGGCACGGACACCTCCCTGCCACCATCAAGGGATGTTGGACTTGGCTTCCCACTCCAGAGTGTGCTCTCCTCCATCTAACTCTCTGCTGCTTAGGCCCCAAGAACAGCACTGGGGGAGGGCAGGGCCTAGTTCTTTTGGCACCTGTGCCAGCCTGGCAGCTGAGGCTGTAATAGATGGGCAAGAGGCCAGGCTGATGGCCAGCACCATGTGGCTTGTGCTCAGGGCCAGATTGGGGCGGGAAGTGGTGGGCTAGGTGCCCAGGCACTCCACCTTCCAAAATGCCACACAATCTGTGAGTGGAGAGAGACAGAAAGAGGGACTCAGATAGATTCAGATGACGACACCCCCTGAGACCAGACTAAGCCCATCTCTGGCCCCTCAACAGCCACTCCCACCTCTACAACTCTGACCCAGGCACAAAAGAAGTCACCACAAACAAGAGAGAGGACAACCAGTTATTTTAGCCCAACCTTGCCAACAGGAAAACTAGAGACTGTGAGGATGCAATCAGAAATAATGATAAGAATGATTCCTCTATTAGCAGAGGGGCTGAGACTTGGGAGGTCTCCATGCATTTTTATGTGAGCCAATTAATATACAAATGTTGTGTACAATACAGATGAACATCTATTGCCTTTGCAATTTTGGAACCTGCTCCTCGTGGTACTAATACATGCACGCACACATGCACACACACACACAGTCTTTATGATTGGCTTGCCTGTTTTTCCCAGCACATAGGTTTCTAAATCTTCCTCCATCTTATCCCTTAAGAGCAAGTTTGGAACTGTGCAAAGATGGCCAGGAAGGTTGGGCTCCACAATACAAGGAATGGCTTTCTGGAGACTCAGATGTACCTCAAATCCTATTTGCCCAGAAGTAGAACAACCTCCCCCATGCCAACCTTACCTATGCCCACCCCTAAACCTGCTCCTGGCCAGGCGTGGTGGCTTACACCTGTAATACCAGCACTTTGAGAGGCCGAGGTGAGTGGATCATTTGAGGTCAGAAGTTTGAGACCAGCCTGGCCATCATGGTGACACCCTCTCTCTACTGAAAATAACAAAAAAAAGAACAGCTGGGTGTGGTGGCACATACTTGTAATCCCAGCTACTGGGGGAGGCTGAAGCAGGAGAATCACTTGAACCCGGGAGATGGAAGTTGCATTGAGCCAAGATCACTGCACTCCAGCCTGGGTGACAGTGAGACTCCATCTCAAAATAATAAAAATGAAAATAAATAAACCTACTCCTTCTGCCAACGTCATAAGTTGAGTGGAGAAGAACTACATCCACTCAAATGCTCAAGCCAGTACCCTGGGATCAGCCATGACCCTTCCTTCAGGTTAGGATGGGACATGGGAACCTGTTGCATATATTAAGTGACTTAGTGACTTTTTTTTCTTTTTTGAGACAGGGGCTCACCTTGTTACCCAGGCTGGAGTACAGTGATGCGAACACAGCTCACTGCAGCCTCAACCTTCTGGGCTCAAGCCACCCTCCCACCTCAGCCCCCAAGTAGCTGGGACTACAGGCATACGCCACCACGCTCAGCTAATTTTTTTATGTTTTGTAGAGATGAGTTTTTCTCATGTTGTCCAGGCTGGTCTCGAACTCCTGAGCTCAAGCAGTTCTCCCAACTCAACTTCCCAAAGTCCTGGGATTACAGGCATGAGCCACCATGCCTGACCCCCTTAAGTGATTATTTTAAGCTAAAAGTTTAACTTTTTTAGCGTCACGTGTCTTCAGACATCAAAATCATTACTTCAAAAATCAAAGAATCCTGTTTCCCTCTCCTTCATTGCCCACATCCTGAATGCTACTTCCTAAACATCTCTGTGTCTATCCAAAGTTGGTGCTCTATATATTTCAGTGGAATAAATGTGAGACTAACAGAGCATGTGGCCAGATTAGAATCAAAGGTCTTCTCATCAGAGGTGTCACTTCTCCCAGGACAAGTCTACTGATTCTAGAATGTTGATTCAACCCATGTTGATAGAGCATGGAATAGGCACATGGCTAGATTCTATCTCCAGCCCTTATTACTTGAGGCCATAGGACTGGTTCTCACCAATAGGATATAAGTGGAAGTAATGTGTTACTTCCAAGCTGTGAAAGTTTAGAGTGGCTGTGCCTTCTCCACATGCTCGCTCATCCCCATCTGCTGGCAGTGACACCTGGGCAACCTGAAGCCACATATTTCGGATGGCAGTTCCACAGCATGAGCAGATCTGGATTCTTGAGTCACCTGACCACAAATGTCCACATTGGATTTATGTGATACATAAATCTTTATCATGTTAAGACGCTGAGATCTGGGGGTTTTCTGTTGCAGCTGCTATATCTACTCTAATACACGGATCAAGGTAATGAGGCCAAAATGGCAAGAAATCAGATTTGTAGCACTGTTGCATTTGGACTATGATGGATGCAGAGGGCACAGGAGAGCATTCTAGAGTCAGGAATTCTCTATTTAAATCTCATACTAGGGGCCAGGTATGGTGGCTCACGCCTGTAACCCCAGCACTTTGGGAGGCCAAGGCAGGCGAATCACCTGAGGTCAGGAGTTCGAGACCAGCCTGGTCAACACAGTGAAACCCCGTCTCTACTAAAAATACAAAAATCAGCGAGGCATGGTGGCAGGCTCCTGTAATCCCAGCTACTCAGGAGGCTGAGGCAGGAGAATTGCCTGAACCCTGGAGGCAGAGGTTGCAGTGAGCCGAGACCATGCCATTGCACTCCAGCCTGGACGACAGAGCCAGAGTCTGTCTCAAAAATAAATAAATTTGATACTAGCTATGTGACTTGGTCAAGTCATTTAATCTTTCTGAACTTTGGTTTTTTCATTGATAAAAATTACATAATAATAATATGACCTGAACACTTTGATAATAGACAGGTGATCTGAACACTTTCATAGTAGAGTGGGTCAATGGGTCTGCAGAGTGAAGGAGCTGTGACCCGAGTATTGCTGAAAACTCTAAACCATTCTTCCACCCAGCCCTAGGTCAGCCAAGGAACTAAGAGGACAAAATAAAAAAGGGCCAGAGACCTTAAAGAAAAGCCTCACATAATCAAACTTTGCACTAAAATTACATCAGTGTTTTTCCTACCTCCCACAGAGTCCACAGTTTGGAAACATTCGTAACAACCTACAATATCTGATAGAGCTGCTTCTGTGTGTTTGTAAAGCACACAGCAGAGTACCTGGCACATGGCAGACACTCTACTATTAATAACACTGGCCATTTTCTCAGAAAGCATCTTGTTATATTGAAAAGGTATACGTTTCAGAATAAGGTTGTTCTTAGAGAACTTGAGCAAGTTACTCTATTTTTTTTTTTTTTTTTGAGACAGGTCACACTCTTGTCACCTAGGCTAGAGTGCAGTGGTGCATTCACGGCTCACTGTGGCTTTGATTTTCCAGGCTCAGGTAATTCTCCCACCTCAGCCTCTCTAGCAGCTGGGACTACAGATGTGCACCACCACACCCGGCTAATTTCTGTATTTTTAGTAGAAACAGGGTTTTGTCATTGGTCTCCAACTACTGGGCTCAAGCAGTCTGCCAGCCTTGGCCTCCCAAAATGCTGAGGTTACAGACATGGGCCACAGCCCACGCCCAGCCAGCAGGTTACTCTTAAAGTCTCAGTCTCTTCATCTGTAAAATCTGGATAGCAACTTGCACAGTTATTGTGATGATTCAACGGGTGAAAGAGCACCTCTCACATAGTAGACAGTCAACTCGTGGTAGCGCCTCAAAGCATTCCCAGAGTCCAGGGCCAACTTCCATTAAACATTTATTACGTGGTGAGCACCAAGCTAGATGTGGCAATACTAGAATTAGGACTTCTTTTCTTAGATGGAGTCTCGCTCTGTCGCCAGGCTGGAGTGCAATGGCATGATCTCTGCTCACTGCAACCTTCACTTCCCGGATTCAAGCGATTTTCTTGCCTCAGCCTCTCGAGGAGCTGGGACTACAAGTGTGCCACCACGCCTGGCTAATTTTTGTATTTTTAGTAGATATGGGATTTCACCATGTTGACCAGGATGGTCTCGATCTCCTGACCTCGTGATCCACCCATCTTGGCCTCCCAAAGTGCTGGAATTACAGGCATGAGCCACCGCGCCCGGCCCAGAATTAGGACTTTTACAAAAGAGAAAAGAGACTTAACATTTTAGGGAAATGGGATTCATTTTTCAACAGCTCCTTTCCCA